AGGGAGCTCAGTGGAGTGTGCTTAGTTGGAGGTGTATGAGGTATCAGGGGGAATATGGCAATCTGAGGAGCAGGACTGTGAGTTGCTGCCCTAGGCCACGTGGCCAATGTCACTGCTGAGTCTGGAGCGCAGACTGCCCCTCCCACCCCAAGGCTGTGGCCCCTCGCACCTCTCTTCAGGTTTCCTTCCAGCCACCATGCCTTTCCTCCACTATTCCCCTACCCAGAACACCCGTCCCTGCGCTATAAACCTCACCCACCCCTCGGGTCCCAGGTGGAGTCCCACCTCAGCCCAGGCAGGGGCTGCAGCAAAAAGCCAGGGCGAAGGTGGGTGGGGTTTGAAAGAGGTAGTGAAGGTGATGCAAGTGTAGAGACTGAGAGCCCAGCTCTGCCTCGAGCTGCTGTGTGACATGGGGCAGGTCACGTTCCCTCTCTGGGCCTCAAGAAAGGTGCTCCTCGGGAGCACATAAGCTAGGAAGGCCTGTAAGGCAAAGCATCGACAGTGGTCTTGGACCAAATGCCTTGAGTAAGCAAACGAGGGGACGCTGATGGAGATAGACTCAGTGGCACTTCTGAAGAACGGGTAACGTTGTGACAGGTGGAGGTGGTGTGGGAGAGGACGCTCCAGGCAGAAGCGCAGCCTGGCTGTGAGGCAGAAGGTTCAGGGCGTGTTCAAGGAAGAATGAGGGTCCAGGTTCTGGTTTCTTTCTGAGTCAACAGCTCAGGTATTTTTTGTAAGCAGGCAGCCTGAGCTTGGTAGCCTCCAGTAAACCCCCATTTGCACAATCAAGGTCACACACAGGGACTTGTTTGCACAATGACCTGTTTGCACAATCTCAGCCGACTGGTGTATTCCAGCCTCTGGTAGACAAGCACAACCTCTACTTCCTCCACTTGGCCTGACTGCGACAGCCCCTGCCTGGGCCTTCCCGAGAGTTGGCAGCCCTGGACACTCCCAGTCACCCACACTTTACTGGCAATAACAGAAACTGAAACCACCCCAAACTCCGTAGAACAGCCTCCCGGGGCCCCCCTGACTGGGGTTTCCAGTTCACAGAGACTATCCTGTCTGATCAAGGAGGGAGCAAGGGCAGGAGAATTAGAGAGAACGTATCCACAAGGCAGACATGGGGTGTGTGTGGAGAGCAGAACTCCGCTTCTTCTTTACTGCTAGAGAGAGCATTTACTGAGCATTTACTATGTGCCTGGCTGTTCCGCGGCCTCTTCTGCAGTAGTTCATGCTTCCAGGAATCCCATGGAGCAAGTACTATTATTATGCCCACATTAAAGATGAAACCAAGGCTCGGAGAAGTTAAACAAGTCACCCGGGGCCTAGTAACAAGCCCGAGCAGTCTGACTCCTCAGTCCCCCTCCTCTCCACACACAAAAAAATGTCTCCCCCCAAAGCAAGTTTTCCTTAAATCTAACTTTCATTTCAGCTGCTGCAGCCCTAAGCCCTGCTGCCGGTCCTCAGTGGAGAAGGGAGCACATATGAGATCAGCCAAGTCCTGTTCTGAAATACTGAGTCACGCAGGAGGCGAGGCAGAGGGAGAAAAGGATTTACTGAACATCTACTCAGTCAGTGCCAGGCTCTAAGCCTCCTATAACTCATCTAATCCTCACGACAGCCTTGAAAGCAGTTGTCCCTTGGCAGAGACGGAGGCTCAGACAGGAGAAACAACTTCTCCAAGATTCTGTGGCCCGCCGTCAGGCCGGTGGGTGTCCTCCTGTGCCCCGCCCTGTGCTAAGGCTGCAGGCAGAGATCAGAATGTGGTTTCTGCCTTCAAGGGGTTCACAGTCTGATGGAAGAAACAGACGGTCAGCAGCCCACTGCCAGACTCCCGGAGAAAGGTTCAGCACAGAGAGCTGAGCCAGACAGGTCTTGAGGCCAGGGAAAGAGGGTGGCAGGTGCAAACGCACAGATGCCCCAGAGCTGGGCGAGGGCAGGGAGCAGCCAGCCAATGTGGGGAAGCGGGGGGGGAGCAGGGCCAGATAAGGGTCCTGTTCAGGAGGGGGCCAGCAAGGTCAGAATGTGTGTAGGAAAGCTCACCCCTCGGGGTCCTCACAGAGCCCAGCGCAGGCACCCCGGCGTGGGCTGCAAGTCCAAGTGGGGACTGAGAGACCCGACAGAGGCAGGGAGAGGAGGTGAAAGTCCAGTGTGGGCACCCTGAGTGCCCTGAGTGTCCACAGGACAGGCAGGAACTACGGCTGCTCCGACTCAGCCATGCCCCCGCACCTGCCCCCCGTACCTGCCCCGTACCTGTCCCAGGTGTGGTTCCTGAATGAGGGTCAAACAGCACATCCTCCTTCCTCGTGAACTGACTGGATGTGGGGATGTGTAAAGGGGGTGCGAGGAATGGCCCCAGGGCCAAGGTTGGTTAACTTGGGGGAGTGGAGACAGTTGCTCTAATTCACCAAGATGAGGCGTGTGAGGACTGGGGTCAGGTTTGGTGAAGTGAGGTGCGTCCATTTGCGCATTCATTTGACAAAGGCGCATTGAGGGCCCCTGTGGGACAAGCAGTGCTGTGGGCGCTGAAGACGGCTTTACACAGACAACAGACCGAAGCCCTCCCCTTACGGACCAGACTCCACTCCACTCCAGGGAGGCTGGGGGTAAGGATGGCCAGTGTCAAGTAGCGAAAACGAGTCTGGGAGAAAGCGGGGAAGGGGAGCGCCAGATAGTCAGAGAAGGTCTCAAGGAGCAGGTAGCTTCGAGTAAAGATGTCTAGAAGAGGAGCGGTGATCTATACATTTACGGGGGGAGGGAGAATCCAGGCAGAAGAAACAGCAAGTGTGAGTGTCCTGAGGCAGGAGGGAGCCTAACCAGCTCAAGAAACAGCGCAGGAGCTGAGCAGCAAGGAGGGCGAATAGAGAGGAGAGGGCCGGGGGGTGGGTACTCCAGGGGGCGGGGGCGCGGGGTGGGGGGATCCGAGAAGGCTTTGCCTTTGACGCTGAGCAAAGGGGAGCCATGGGGAGGTGGGGGCGGAGGGGTCAGCGCCTGGCTTGACAGGTGTCAACACGAACGTGGGTGACCAGCTGCTGAAGGAACCAGGGACAAGTGGGGGGGGGGGCAGGAGAGCAGCAAGGGGGCCGGGGCAGCCACCTCGGGGAGTGGCAAGGGCACAGACGGCTGAAGTGGTCTCAACATTTTGTCATGAAAATGTCAAACACTGGGCCAATTTGACGGTTAGGCGGAACCCTGCCCCCCAGGGCTGTTACGTTCTGCAGGACTCCACGGCCCGTCTGAGGGTGCAGGGCCTACGGGCATCGTAGCGGAGTGGCTGCGGGCAGCTGGCGTTTCAGTCTGGCGCGGAATTGCCGCCCAGCGGCCCTGTCACTCCAGGCCAGAAACCCTCGTTCCCATAAAGCAGCCTGCGGACACCCTTCTGGGTTGTTGGCGCCCAGCCTTTATTGGGTCACAAATCCTACGAACTATGAACTACCTGCTTCTCTTCAGCAAGATGCGCAGAAAATTATTCGTGAACAACACCACTGTTCAGTGTGGCAGGACCGCGGTCGGCCAGCATGAGCCTCCAGTGGGCCTATGAAGAACCTGAGCCTCACCAGGCCTCCGTCTTGCTCCCCATCTGCCTGGGCTGTGGGCAGTAGAGGAGAGTTTGTCGTGCCGCGGGGCCAAGAAATCCTGTAACCTGGAGGGCTCCCCTGAATGCGGTGAGGATCAGGGCCCCAAGCCAGTGCTGAGGCTCTGAGCTGGGGGTCTGCCCCAGGGATGCTCCCCCAGGGCTGGGGGCCAGGGGAGACTAGGAATGGCCCCAGTAGTACCTACCGGAGCCTCGGCCCTGCCCAGCCTCAAAGCTTTGAGGTCAGGAAATCCGGAGGCGGAGGAGGGGGACCTGGTTGCCACATCCCCCAACCCCTTTAAGACCCCCAAGACAGGAAGGCTGCCAGGCCTCACCGGCTTCCCTCCAGGCTCCTTCCTGGGAGGAAGGGGCTGCCTGGTGCAGTGGCATCTACAGCGCAGGGGTGGGGGGGTGGGGAGGTGTTGCAACCCGCAGTCGGGCAGAGACAGAGACGAGCCATTAACCAGGGCTGTGTGTAGGAACCTGCTCCAAGAGGGCAGCGGGGCCTGGCCTGCGGCCTCCAGGGTGAGTAGGGGATCCCCGGGATGGAGCAGTCTGGGTACTGAGGGGCCCTGGAGTCCCAGTCCCCACCCCCCAGCTCTGCCAAGGGGGCTCAGCCCGGGACCAGGGTGTCTAGGGCAGGATTTGGCCTTGGAAGCGGGAGCCCCGCTACTTTAGGCTTTGTTGCTGTCTTTGTTTTGGGTGGGGGTGCGTCAGAGAAGCCAGACAAACGCCTCGCCCACTGCGCTGGGCTAAGGGGGGGCATGATCACCACCCTCTGCGTCTGTCTCAGCCCCTCTCTGGCTTTCCCCTCCGATTTTCTGTCTGTCTCTCTGGGGTCCCTCCGCCTCTTCAATCCTGCGCCCTGGGGTGTGAGTGCCCCCCTTGGCTCCCAGCCCCTGGTCCACGCCAGCCCCTGTCCCTCAGGCTGGTCGCCCTTCCCCTGTCTCTTCTTGGCTCCTTCTCCGGAAGCGGCTCTCTGCCCGGCTGTCTGCCTGGTGAGCCGCTGTCTCTCTCCTCCTGCTGGTCTCTGTGTTTCTCTAAACCCCATCTGGGTGGACAGCGACCTGCGGTCCTTTACCAGCCTTCCTCCCTCTGACCAGCGTCCCATAGAAAACTGGTGACTGGAGAGGCGGCAGCGTGTGCTTGGATTCAGTCAGGAGAGCTGGCAAAGACTGAAGAGAATGGGGAGCCAGGGGGCCCAGAAGAGGGGCCATGAAACTGTGCAGCCTGATGAGATGGACCGTCCCCGGGGGGGTCGTGGCTCACGCCTGTGTCAGGGAGGGGCCTCAGCCTGGCAGGAGCCCATGAGGCGCTGCCCTGGGGCACTTGAGGATCACTGCAAGTAGAGGAGTGAGCACCACTGTTATTCTTCTTTCACAGATGGAGAAACTGAGGCTCCCAAAAGTGAAGTGATTTGCCCAAGGTCACAAAGCTGGTAAGTGGCAGAGCTGGGCTAGGTGGTCTGCACAGTGGGCCTCAGAGAGGGAGGCCATGCTGTCAGGCTCCAGGGTAGGGGGCAAGCAGAGTGGGGTCACCCAGGGCTGCCACCGGGGATCTGGGCCTGATGCCAAACATAGCCCAGCAGGAGAAGGTCTGGGCCCTCTCGAGATTCAGTTTGGTTGCCCGCTCTGGACAGGAGCCAGCGGAGAAGGATGAAGTTGTATTTCGTTGGGCACTGGTGGGCTGGGCACCCTTGCTAAGAGAGCAGGACTAGAAAGGATCGAAAAGTTACAGGAGGGGTACCGTAATCTGCCCCCAAATCTGGACTGAGGAGGCTTAATCTTCCCCAACAATATGCATAAAGGACAACCGGACTAGGATGCTGTCAGAGGAACTTGGCAGCCACTGGCTACTAACCAGGGTGCTCTCAACAGTTGCACAGCTTACTCGCTGCACAAAGCTACCTGGCTGGGCGTCAGGTAGGGGCTGACACCAGCCTGTTCTCCAGTTGCCAGCTCCTAACGCCGGCGGTATCTGTCCAGAAGAAGGGGTCCTTCTTGTCTGGTTCTCGAAAGGGGGACTGGGCTGACTGCCTCCTGGCATCCCGATACAGCCATAACTACAGACTGTGGGGCTTTGGGGCAGGCTCGTGTTCGCAGGAACAGCCTGGGGTACCCAGGAAGTTCTCATTCACTCCTCTGGGCAGGGCGAGAAAGAGGAGAGCTCTCTGTCCCTCTGAGCACAGGAGTCTGCTGGACGCCACCTCCACGCAGTGCTCACCATGTCACGCAGGCGTAGTGATCGCCACTGACCTGCAGCTAGTGCTGGAGGATCCGGTGTCTGGTCCTGAGACCCCAGTGGGAGCAGAGAGCTATTAGACCCCATGTGCCCACCTGGCAGCTTCTCAGCCCCCCCTTGCCCTGCACCGTCGCCGGGGCAGACAGCTTCCCTCGGCGTAAGTTGACAGCCCCTCACCTCAGCCTCTCTGTGGAGCTGCCTCTCTCTACTGGGGTTGGTCCCCACTCAGGCTTGTTTCATCCTCCCCACCCTTCCACTCTGTTCTTGGGATCTCCCCAAGAGAAGCTACCTGCAAGCAAGCCCCAGTTTCTGGCTCTGCTCTCTGGGAGAGATGAAGGCCAGACAGAGGGGAGGGACGAATGCTGCCCCTCCCCCCGTCCTCCCAGGAAGGCGGCACTGACCGGAGCGCCCTCGCAGAGGCCATGCCAGTGGGCCAGGCAATGTGTGCAGATCTGCACTTGCCCCATCTGCTGTCTTCTTCCCAAAGCAGCAGCATAGACTGTTGTTACCTCCACTTTGTAAAGAAACTGAGGCTCAGAAAGGCTAAATAACCTGGCCAAAGCATACTGGGTAGAGCGCGGATTCAGCTCATCTCTGATGCCAAATCCCATGACCAAAACCACACCCTCTGCCTCCAGGTGAGCACCAAGTTGGCACGATGGCAGGGCTGGGAACCTGGAGCCTGACCAGAGCGGCCCTCATCATCCTACTGCTTCCCAGAAGTAAGTGGGGGACAAGGTGCTGTGGGAGAGAGATCAGGGCTGGAGCAGGGAACCGTTTCCTGCATTTCCACAAGGCTCCTGGGGCTCCCGAGAATCCCAAGGGAATCGAGTCCAGGCCACAGTGGGGGGCTGGCCAGACTCCCACCCGCAGACCTCTGCAGGCAGAGTGCCCCCATGAGGAACAAAGAGAAGACCTAGGTTGCTTGACATGGAAGAGGCCCCGGGGCAGGGAAGGAGCTAGGGCATATCTGCACACCTCTGCCAGGCTGTCAGAGGAAGCCCTCGGTCCCATGCCACCTTCGTGGGCAGTGAAAGGATCGGGGTAGAAGCCGCAGGCATAGGTTTCATCCTCTCTAGTTATAGAAAGTGTTTTGAGAGAGGGTGAGCCTCCCATCTCTGGGGGTAAGCAAGCAGGAGCCAAGACTGACGGGACGCTGCACACAGGTGTCGGCTAACTGTACGGAGATGTTTCGGCCTTCCAGGCCACCAGTCCCTGTTGCAGCTCTGTGTGGTTTTAACCTGTTGAGATGCGGAAACCAGCCCTAGCTTGCAGACCCTGCACGCAGTGTCGAGCCAGCCTGGCCTGCTAACCAGGACACGGACCAGGTGTAGTGAGAGTGAAGAGCTTGGCCAGGTGCCTTCCAGTGTCCCTGTTGAGTCCACATCGTGAGTGTGCCCTGTGGCCTGTGTTCCCCCTCGTAGGGCCTCAGCATGCCCATCAGCAAAATGGGCCAAAGGACACCTGAGGGGGAAGAAGGCCAGGCGGGTGAAGTGCAGCGCTCCCCCGCACCATCACTGACTCAGCAGGTGTCGTCCGGGCCCCCTCTGTGCCACGAGGCACTGCCGTACAGTAGTGGGCACAAGTGCCGATGTCTGCAGACCTCCGGCCCAGCTGGGGAGGCAGACCCGCGGATAACCACGTGGCTCCGTGATCACAAAGCGCAAGGAGAGCTGTGGGACGGTCCGGGGTCCTCCGTCTGAGAGCTCGAAGGCCTGGGCTCAGGGCCTGTTCTCTCCCATGCCAGGCCTGGAGGAGTGTGGGCACATCAGCCTCTCCGCCCCCGTCACCCACCTGGGGGACCCCGTCACAGCCTCCTGCATCATCAACCACAAATGCAGCCTCGTGGGCCCGGAGTCACAGATTCTGTGGCAATTGGGGACAGAGCTTCAGCCCGGTGGGGAGCAGCACTATCTGCCAAATGGGACCCAGAGATCCACCATCACTTTGCCCCACCTCAACCACCCCCGGGCCCTTCTCTCCTGCTGCCTGCGCTGGGGCAACAGACTGCAGATCTTGGACCAGGCTGAGCTGCGGGCAGGTTGTAAGTATCTGCGCCCACCATGCCCCCAATAACTAACATGAGCTGTAACTATTGAGCTTTTGCTCAATGACCACATGACGGGCACGATAATCTTCCCTACCAGTGGATGGGGTGACTGAGCTCCATTTTGCGGGTGAGGAAACTGAGGCTCCGAGAGGGCAACTTGCTGAAGGTCGGAAAGCTGGTAGGGATGGAGCAGGGTTACTCCAGGCAGGGTAGCTCAGCAGCCATGACTCCGGGCACTGCCAAGTCAGCCCAGCGCCCGGCCCTAGGCAGCTCTCCAAGGAGAGCAGTCTAGCAGCGCTGCTTCTCCTCCCCTGGGCTTCTCCCAACCCCAGTGTCACCCTTCTCCTCACGCTGAAAAGGGCCAAGGCGATACGCAAGGGAAGACAGACAGGCCAAGGCTCTGGCTTAAGAACCCGCAGCAGCAGAGCTACACGTTCTGTGTGCCTGTGAGTACTCCAGGAGCAGCCGGCCATTCAACTCTCACAAGCACCTGAGGGGCAAGAATATTACCGTCACCCCCCTTGTGGGTGAGGAAACTGAGGCACAGAGCAGCTAGGTGACTTCAGCCACTCAGCTAGTGAACGACTGAACCAGATGAGCCCACACACCACACATGCCGGAGACGGCGCCCCCGAGGGGCTGAGGCTCTGTGGCGCTTGTCCTGTGCATGCCGGGCCACCCCACCCCAGGGTCACCCTGCATGGAGCCCAGGGCACAGACAAGGTGACTCTAGAGAGAACAACCCAGAGCAAGGAAGCAAAGCCAGCTGGCCCCAGTGGGGGAATTCTGGCTGGTGCTACCCAAAGCCCTCATGCTCCCCTTCTCTACACAGACCCCCCTGCCACACCCTACAACCTGTCCTGCCTCATGAATCTCACAACTAACAGCCTCACCTGCCAGTGGGAGCCAGGACCCAACACCCACCTGCCCACCAACTTCACCTTAAAGAGTTACGTGTGAGTAGGGGTCTCTCCACAGCCCTGTTCCCTGGAGTCCTGGGGCAAGGCAGGGGCAGGACAGTGGGTTCAGGGCCCTAGGGGTAAGGACGGGTGGGCGCAGGGAGCCTCACTTCCTTCCCCTGCTGACACCCAAGCCCGGCCTATTGGCAGGAGCCGGGACAATTGCCAGACCCAGAAGGACTCCATGTCGGACTGCATGCCTGAGGACGGGCAGAACCACTGCTCCATCCCACGGAAACACCTGCAGCTTTACCAGAACATGGGCATCTGGGTGCAGGCAGAGAACGCGCTGGGGACCAGTGCGTCCCCACAGCTGTGCCTTATGCCCAGTGACGTCGGTGGGTGACCTGGGTGCAGAGGAGGAGAGAGGCATCCACAGTGGGCCGGCCCAGATGGGGGCAGAGGGTGAATCACGGAGACAGTGGCAGACCTAGAGACAGAGAAAAGTTGGGATGAAGCCGGAGACAGAGTTCTGGAGACACACAGAGAAGGGAGAGACGCGGGCAAAGAGTCTTTCGTCCTCTAGCAACTGCCTGAAGCCACATTGTAGACAGGCGCTGTCCCAAGTGCTGGGGGTACAGCAGGGAACAAAATACCAAGTCCCTGGCCTTTGTAATGTTGCATGCTGGTGGGCAAAATAAGAGTATCATGTGATAGGGAAATTAAAATGGGAAATTAAAATTACAATGAAGCCCCCCCCCTGAAAACAGGTGACATAAGAAAATTCTTGGAGGAAATGAGGGAATGTGTCACCAGATCTGGAGGAAAAGTCATCCAGGCATTAAGGACGCTCAGTGCCAAGGCCCTGGGACCAGAGTGTGAACTAGAGACTAGAGCAAAACAGACATGACACAGACAGACCTGCAGAAAGCAGCGGGATGACACAGATGAAGAGAGGCAGGGACAGCCCGGGGATGCGCCCAGGGAGGACGTGGAACCACGGGGGACAAAAGGGAGCTGGACAGGACCCGCTGATGGGGCACAGGAGGGTCTCACAATCCCTCTTCTCGCAGTGAAACTGGAGCCCCCCACACTGTGGGGCTTGGACCCCAGTCCCGAGGAGACCCCGCCCCAGCCAGGCTGCCTGCAGCTACGCTGGGAGCCATGGAAACCAAGCCTGCACATGGACCAGAAGTGTGAGCTGCGCCACCAGCCGCAGTCTGGAGAAGCCAGCTGGGCCCTAGTGAGACACAGGCCACCTCGCCACCTCGCCACCTCGCCATGGGGGTGCTGAGGGAGGGCAGGCCGAGGTGTCCCTGGAGGGCACAGGCTCAGGGCCATACCCTCTCCCCCCCCCCAGGTGAGCCCTCTGCCCCCCAGGGCCTTCCAGCATGAGCTCTGTGGACTCCTCCCATCCACAACCTACGCCCTGCAGATGCGCTGCATCCGCTGGCCCCTGCCCGGCCACTGGAGCAGCTGGAGCCCCAGCCTGGAGATGACCACTGCGCAGCGGGGTAAGTGGGTAGCGAAGGGCTGGGAGCAGCCCTCAAGATCCCGCACAGGCCCCGGGGCCCTCCCTGACTGCCACCCCCTCCTCTTGCCCCATCCGTAGCTCCCATGGTCAGACTGGACACGTGGTGGAGGCAGAGGCAGCTGGACCCCAAGACAGTGGATGTGCAGCTATTCTGGAAGGTAACCCCCCGCCCCTGAAGGTCATCCTCCAACCCCTGAGACCGCCTCCAACCCAGACAGGCCCATTCACCTTGTGGCCCGGGACTTGGCTGCATTAGTATGGGATCTGCATGCATTTGCATGTGCCTCGAAGCTGGGCTCCCCTGTGGCAGAGTCAATTCACAGAACAGCCCAATGCCTGCCGCAACCCCTAGAGCTTAGCACTTGGGAGGGAGGAGGAGGGAGGACATGGCTGGCTCCCAGCCTGGGAGGCTCAGGACCTGTGATCCATCCACCCCTCCAGAAGCTCTCCCCCATTCACGATAAGCCGTGCTCCCCACCCACCATTTTCTTCCTCTGCCTTCCCAGCCAGTGCCCCTGCAGGAAGACAGCATGCACATCCAAGGGTACCTGGTCTCCCGGAGATCCAAAGACCAGGCTGGGGCAGTACCGCCCCTCTGCAACACCACGGAGCTAAACTGCACCTTCCATCTGCCTTCCGACGTCAAGGAGGTGGTGCTTGTGGCCTACAACACAGCTGGGACCTCTCAGCCCACTGTGGTGGTCTTCGTGGAGAGCAGAGGTAAAGCAGGCCAGGTGGTTAAGCACGTGCTCACAGGCTAGACTGCCTGGGTCCAAACGTAGTCCTGCCCCGTGGTGGCAGTGTGAGCCGGGCAACTTAGCTTCTCTAGCCTCTTTCCTCATCTAGCAGTGAGGATCCTCAGAGCCTACTTCAGAGGGGTGCTGTGAAGATTTCATGAGGTAAGGCCTTTGACTGGCACAAAGTAACTGCTTGATACATGGGAGTTATCATCATCAGTGCGCCAAGCAGGTTAAGTGGGTGGCGGTGTCTACCTTCTCTCCCTCTCTCTTTCTCCATGCACACTGCAGAGGAAGATGGGAGAGAAAGCCCTAAGTTTTCCCCTCTAGAACATGGTCCCTGAGTTAACTGCTTTTTCACAGGGACCAGCCACCCATCCCCACCCCACCCAGGTCGTCACAGGTGAGGTTGTCAGCCATGGCGGTAGCTGATGTCCCACTTACTGCCACAAGTTACTTGACCACTCCGTGTCTCGGTGTCCTTATTGACACGACAGAACCCAGAGGACACAGCGAGTGAACATATCAAGGACTAGGCTTAGCACACACCAAGAGCTTCAGGGTCAGCTTTTCTTGTGACCCAGCTGGACCCAACATCAGGCACTAAGCTAGACTGGCTCTGTGCATTAGTTCATTTAATCTGCCCCAAGGTCCTATGAGACAGGAAATTTTATCCTCATTACCACATTATCAGGTTCAGGTGTTGGTCACCCCGCTCTTAAATCACAAAGCCAAGATTTGAGCCCCGGCTTCTCACTCCAGGACCCACCTTCATTCCCTCATCTCCCACTCTCTCTGCAGGCCCACCCCTGGCCAGACTCCATATCGTGGCCCAGGGCCCTCACAGCCTCTGGGTGGGCTGGGAGCCCCCCAGTCCTCAGCCTCAGGGCTATGTGATCGAGTGGGGACCCAGCCTCCCCAGCCCCAGTGGCAGCAGTACAAGCTGGAGGATCGAGCATAACGGGAGCATCACAGGGACCCTGCTGCAGGGTGAGGCAGCCTGGGGCTGAGCCCAGGGGCAGGCTGGGGGGGAGGCAGCGCTTGGCTGCCAGGAGGCAGGGGGCGGCCTGAACACTCACGGGAAGCAGACTCTTCCTTCTTTCTCAACCCTTCACTATTCTCAACTCATCCTCAGATTCAGAAGTTCTTCTAGAGTCCAGGCTGGATCCTCCCTCCACCCACCCTCTTCTCTTTTCCTGCTTTACACCACTCCCCACCCTCACCAAGGATGGGAAGAGATGGGGAGGCCAGGCCACCCCTGAGCAGGGGTCTGAGGTGAGCTTCTGATCATCAGCAGAGATTAGCCCCTAACCAGAGTGCCTACCCTCCTTATCTTTACAGAGAACATTAAGCCCTTCCAGCTCTATAAGGTCACTGTGACGCCCCTGTACCAGGACTCCAGGGGGCCCTCCCAGCACATCTACACCTACTCCCAGGAGACGGGTTTGTCTCGACCAGCCCCCTTCCCAGAATCTCTCCTCTCTCATTCCCTAACAATAAGGAACACGAAGGAGCATTTCCTGCCTTCCCACCCTTGGCCCAGATGGGGCTCTCTCCCAAACCTAAGCTACCCCTGCTTATACTGAACCTTGCAGTTGGACAGAAGTCAGGTGGTGGGGAGCTAGAAGAAGGGCATAGAGTGTGGCAGAATTCAGAGAGCAAATCCATTACCCTATCCCATGACAGAAATTAGGCAGAGGGCCTGGCATAATTTAGAAAGGGATGACAGCAATGAAATAGTGAGCGAGGCAGAAGTCAGGTAGTGGAGCACTGGAGCCAGAGAACCGGGTTCAAATCCTGCCTCTGCCACATATTAGCAGGGGGAGTCAGGTCAAAGTTCTTTGGAAAGTGGTATTTCCCATCTGCCCTGCAGCATGTCCTGGGTCTTGGGTCTGGGGCTCACAAGAAGTCCATCTGGGTTCTCCACCTTGCCCCGCTCTGGGTCAGCCCCTGTCTCTCTTCCGGCAGCCCCTTCCCATGCCCCAGAGCTGCATCTGAAGCACATTGGCAAGACCTGGGCACAGCTGGAGTGGGTGCCCCAGGCTGCTGAGCTAGGGAGGAGCCCCCTTACCCACTACACCATCTTCACGACCAACGCTCAGAACCAGGCCTTCTGTGAGTCTATCCTCAGCACCCCACAGCCCACAGGGCCCAGGATGGGCTGTTCAGAGGGAGCCTTGGCATCAGGGCCCCGCTGACCATCCTCCTCTACTCCAGCCACCGTCCTGAATGCCTCCTCCCGTGACTACGTCCTCCACGACCTGGAGCCAGGAAGCTTGTACCACGTCCACCTCATGGCCACCGGCCGGGCTTGGGCCATCAACAGTACAAGCCTCACACTGATGACCTTGGCCCTAGGTAAAGGGGAGAGGGAGCTATGAGGACAAGGCTGTTGGGAGGGTGTTTCACCCAAAGGATCTCTATTTGGAGAGTAGACAGGTCTTGTCTGGGTCCCCTAGTCTGAGGAAGGAGCCCAGTCCTGTCCTGAGGTCCCAGTCTGGGGGAGGAGGCCTGGCATTCTCACATGCACCTTAACCTCTCTGGCCTTCCCCAACTCCAGATGAGTCTGAGCTGCACCTCTTCCTGGGCCTGTTCAGCCTCCTGCTCTTGTTCTTCTGCCTTTGTGGGGCAGCCTGGCTCTACTGCAGACCCAGGTGAGTCATTTCAAAAGATCTGACACCTAGCTACCCTACCCACCAGACACTGCAGGACCAAGTGGGTCAGTCTAAACCTCCTCCAGCCAGCCTTCCCAGGCCTAGGGCCCATGTCTGGGAGTCAGGACTCCCGCTTTCTCCTGCCTGCACTAGGGTCATCCCTCAACTGCTGGGAGTGAGTGGGGGAAAGGCTGGAAAGGTGCCAGGTGTGCCTGACCCAGTCTCTGCCTGCCTCCTTCTCCAGCAGGAAGAATCCCCTCTGGCCAACTGTCCCTGACCCAGCCCACAGCAGCCTGGGCTCCTGGGTGCCCACCATCATGTCAGAGGTAAGAACCCTGCAGGAAGGGAGGTGGGGCTAGGAGGGTTGATCCAGGCTCCAAATGGAGAGTACCCCCTGAGGGTGAGGATGCACCCATCACTTCCCATCATCCTCCACCCCCCTTTTGGAGTACAGCAGACCTGAGTTCTACCCATGTCAGAGCTATAGTCATCTTACTATGAAACTGAACTAATTCCACACAGAATCATTAAGGAGAATCACCGAGCCAAGTAAGCAGCACATAGTATGCATCAGGAACACATGAGGTGTTCTGCAAGTGCAACGCTTGCAACAGAGAATGGCCAGAATGTTCCTACAGTTCCCAAAGCTCATGAAGGGCCAGGGGTGAAGCAGACATCTGAAATGAGTCACGCCCTCACCCCCTACATCCTTGTGTCTAGGAGATTTTCCAGCTTCCCAGCCTTCAGGACCCTGGCATGCAACCCATCACCAAGATCACCGTGCTGAAAGAGGAAGAGAAGAAGCCAGGATCGTGGGAATCCAATGACAACCCAGAGGCCCGTGGCCTCCCCACCCTGGTCCAGGCCTATGTGCTCCAAGGGAACCCAAGAGCACCTCATACCCAGTCCAAGCCTGAATCGGGTACCAGCGACCAGGTCCTATATGGGCAGGTGCTGGGCAGCCCCACTGGCCCAGGGCCAGGGCATTACCTCCGCTGTGACTCCACTCAACCTCTCTTAGAGGGCCTCACCCCTAGCCCCAAGTCTTATGAGAACCTCTGGTTCCACACCAGTCCCTTAGGCACCCCAGAGCCCCTAGTCCCAAACCAGGAAGACGACTCTGTCTTTGGACCTCTGCTGGACTTTCCCCTCTTGCAGGGGCTCCGGGTACATGGGGTGGAGGGGCTGGAGGGCTTCTAGGGCTTTCCTCCCACCTAGGCCGACCGCTAGAAAGGAAAGCGTTAGCCTGGGCGTCACTGTAAAAAGCACCCAGCCCAGAATGAGCATAAAGACTCTCAGTCTCCTCTACCCCTGGCCCCAGCATCCCTACCCTAGCTCCCCAACTTCCATGGGCTGGGCCTCCCACTTCAAAGGCCAGAGAACATTTCATCCAGTCCTGCCCCGCTGCTCTTTTATGCTTATTTCTTGTCATTTCAGTCTCTTAATGTGACGTATATATTTGTTTTGTTTTGGGAAACTCTTGAGTGTGCCTGGTCTCTGTTCTTTTATTTTGGGGCCCTAGCATTCAGGGGATACATTTCAGAGTTGTCTAGGTGTTTAGTCTTTCCTCCACTCTTTCATTCACTCACCAAGCATCGAGCCCTACCCTGACAGCAGGGATTCAAAAATGACTGAGCTCAGTCCACCTTCAAGGAACTCCCAATCTGTGGAAATGTGAACACGGTGCTAGAACACAGTGGCCCAGGTTACCTGGAGGGAGTCGAAATCTTCCAATAGAATTGGGGCTGCGAGAGGGAGGGCTAAGGAGCAACAGCAGTGAGGGAGCCCCAGGGACTACGGGGGAGCCCCAGGGATCATTAGGTGGTGAAGGCAGAACATTTATCTGAAGAGGTGTGAATCTATACTCCTAAATCATTTGCAATGTTGTGAGCCAACATTATCTCAATTTAAAAAATACCATTTTATAAAAATCTGAAGACCTAGAAAATCTCCCACAAGGTGAGAAGAGAAAGAAGCATTACTGAGTGTCAAACCAGATGTGATACATATCACAGACAATCTGGTAAAGAGCTTACGGAAAGAAATGTTATCCTTTCATAGAACCATGTGGCTACAACTTTCCCATACATTTTCTCAAAACAGTAACTGACAGCATACCATTTGTCACACAGAGTTCCTCCGAAATTTACCTGGTAAATGGGGTAGAGACCTCTGTTTGTGAACTGCATTATCCAAAGGAAAAATGAACTGCTCCTATCTTTATGAGGAAGTAGGCTGCAACTTAGAGCTCAAGTTAGGCACCTACCCTGTCCCGGAAACTGAGATATTGGGGTACCGCAGTCCTTAATGAGATGACTTTCAGGTCCTAGTAAAAAATTTTCCTGCCAGGCCCTCCCTGGTGGCGCAGAGGGTTAAAGCGCAGCACTAAGAAGCTAAAAACCACTTCCACATGAGTTCGATCCCCGCCTGCCCTGGAGGAGATCCACATGGCG